TATCACAATGCAATTATTTATTTATAACTGGAGGGGAGGAGGCGGGGGAGACTTTTTCCATAGCGTCCCCCACACAACACATCGATACCCAAAGAAAAGTGGACCTCTACTACCTGTGATCAGTACAATTCGGGCCGGCCCATTATCCCTCTTTATCAAACTTGTCCCATCCTCCGACTTAGCTCGTGTAAAGCACTGCCCATTGATCTTGTGGCCTGTCCGTGATTTTGGCTGTGAAAGAGTCGCGAGGTGGAGCGTGAAACACAATGCTACACACACTTTTTCTTAGATGAGTTTGGGGTTCCTTTTTAAATTATTTTTTTATTAAAAATATATTAAAATAATATTTTTTTATATTTTAAAATTTTTATTTATATCAGCTTATTAAAATAATAAAAATATATTAATTTAAAGTAAAAAATAAAATAAAATAAAAAATTTCTAAAATATTTTTAAAATATAAAAATAAATAATATGAAAATCTGACTGGCATTAAAAAAGTGCACCTTTTGTAGGGGAATGGGAGCTTTATCACATGCTCCTTTTCAACTCCCTACCACAAAATTATTGACGTGACATTTATGTAACTCATACCTTCCTTGACGTGCTAGAAAAAGATGAAACATAAAACGAAAATTATTAGTTCATAATTCCATTACTCTGGAAATTTAATGAAAGTTATTGTGCCCCTCGAGCACTGCCAGTAATAATTTGTAATGTGCCTCAGCATGGATAAACCTGCCCAATTTGCTCCTAAATTTAGTCGAGCCAATAAGTAGATTTTTTTTTATTAATATGAGTGTTTAACTAATTTATATGCATCAAGATTAATTCTAAAATTTAATGATTATATAAATTTTTAGTAATTACCATATAAACAATCAAAAACTTAAACATAAAACTATAAGGAGAAAAAACTTTTTAATTTTAAATTCTTATCATTTAACTACCATAGTTGTCTTGTCTGTAAGTAGATTCTTGCATTACCTGGATGAGGAATGCGTCTCGCGCAAGAAGTTTTGGTTACCGGCTACTGTCTAGATCCATTCATTTAACAAATTCTGAATCAAAAACTGTATCAAAATCTTATTGCCTTTTTGTGAGAGCACAGGTAGCCATATTAGGTTTTTTCCTGAAATATGAAAGGGGAAAAAGCTTTATATCGAGGAACAACCCGGCATGGTCTATGGTTCTGTCTCTGTGGTGATATTTTCCCTCGGCTCCTAGACACACACACACACACTTTAGGAATAAAATCAGATTAGGATTTGCATGATCTGCATGCTTATGCTTCTTTCTTGATCCTGATCAACTTTCATAGGGCCAACTTTCTTGATGGGTGTTTACCTTTTCCGGTGAAGTTGCTCTGGTTCAATCAAATTCAATGAAATATCCCATCCTTGTTGATGAACCATCATGTCTTATCGGGAACTACCACAAGAAATATAATGCTGCCCCCACGTTATCTTATTCAGGCCCCAATTTGCTTGCCTGTGAAATGTGGTTAAAAAATAACATTATAATTACTAGTAATACTAAAAATGGTGGGGTTTTCACTATAGCCCCTCGCATTGTTTTTTTTATATACATATTTTCTTTATCTTTTTTTTTTCAATTCCAATCAAAACAAAAGGATAGGTATAAAAAGGGTAAAACATGGAAGAATAGCATGTCTAATCTGGAATTCATGGGACAAAAAAAAATTCTAGTCCTTTTATTTTTCTCCATCTTTCATTAGAGTCCCTTGACTTTTTTAAATATTTTATTTTGATTTAAAAATTTATTTATTTTATTGTTTCTCCTCATCCAGAGAGAGAGAAAAGAGAAACTCATTGAGAAATTGAGAAGAAAAGAGAAAAAAAACATTGATTGACCATGTTTCAACAATTAAAAAAAATTAATATCAATATCAAAAACTTTTATTTAAAAAAATAAGTTTTATTAAGGTATTCTTTGAACCTTCACCATGGTTGAAAGAGAAAAATTCCTCTAATTTGATTTTATATTTTTAGATTTGATTTCTTATGCTTGTTAATTGTTTTATTGAGGTTTTAAGGATTTTTTTTTTGTAAAAATAGGATTGAAAATAAAAATTTTAATAAAAAAACACATGCTTAATTTTCTAACCACCTCTCTGGTTGTCGAAACTAGATAGATAAATAATGTATTATTTATGTTATTTATTTAAAAAAATAGGGGCAAACTCTTTATCTAAATCAAGAGAAAAAGAAAAACTTCAAAAAAAGGATCTCTTCTTTAAGGCTTTCGCGCAATAACTTTTATTTTATTGGGTCAGATGCCTGGGTATGTGATATTCAATTTTAATTTAAATTATTTAAAATAAGTGTTTTTTAATTATCATTTAATTTTTTCTTGGTTTTTAAATAAGATTGTAATAATTATATATATATATATATATATTAATTAATAGGGCTTCTTTTTTTGCAAACCTAAATAATTTTTTCCTTTATTTTTATTCAATAACTTCCCTTTACATGTCTATTTTTGTTATTCTCTAATTGAATGAATAATTAATTTCAAGAAATAAAATTATTAGAACTAATCAAGTTTGATTAAATATCCTAGTCTAAATCTATCTTTTAAAATTTTAGTTTAGTCTTTAGTTGGCAATTTTTTTTATTAATACATATAATTCTTAATTTGTTCAATTAAATATGCATATTAGTTTTACTATTTGTATTAAAAAAAACTCTTTATAAATATACTTGAATATTTGTTTTTTTAACATTATTTTATCCTATCCATAATAAAATACGAGTCAACTTACATGTCCAAGTTGATTCTTAAAATTTTACTTGTAAATAAAAAAATATTAATAATGCTTGCTTGTTCATTTTTTTGAAGTTCTAAAAAAAAGAACAATTACTTCAACCTGCGTCAAAACACGTGCAGTTTTGTGGTATCATCCCATGCTAGTGACTAGAAAGAAAATATTTGGGGTTGCAAGGCATGTATTCGAACATGTGACCTACGACAATTGTACTGACAGGCTAAAAACCCAACCTACAGTTAGGATTACCTACCTGCAGAACCGTTACATTAACCCTATGCGCGAGCCTATTTATACAAGGTAGATAGGAAGGAAAGGACATTGCAGAAGTAGACGTGATATGAAGACATGAGAAATCAGGAGCCTCGTGCAAGCTCTTCATGTGCAGCATGTAAGTTCTTGAAAAGAAGATGCACTCCCAATTGCATATTTGCTCCTTATTTTCGCTCAGATGAACCTAAAAAGTTTGCCAGAGTACACAAGGTTTTTGGTGCAAGCAATGTGAGCAAGATACTGATTGAAGTGCCCGAAGAGCAACGTGAAGACACGGTGAATTCTCTAGCTTATGAGGCTGAGGCAAGGCTTACAGATCCTGTCTACGGTTGCATTGGTGCTATAGCTCTGTTGCAAAGAAAAATGGTCGAGCTACAAGTTGATCTTGCCATTGCTAGAGCTCGTCTAGCTCGGTATGCTGCCAATTCTCCTCCTATCTTGAATGATCATGGTAGCATGATACCACCCTTGGCTGAATTCCCTGCTTGTGGTGGTTTGGTTGACAGTTTTAGCCAGAGTTCATCAGATACCATGAATGATTTCAGCCAATTCCCTTTTATATTTTAATAGATTATCCCGTTTTTCGCTCTCCTATTGTTCTTGTATTGTAAATTTGAAGAACTTGCGTTTCAGGTTATGTTCCCAATCAAGAATTAAGATTTCTTTGAATTGTTGGGACCGTGGATGTTAATTGAACTGAAAATGTACTGCTTAATTAGTTTCTGCTATTTCAGAAAAAACAACCAAATCGAATCATGAATAACATCCCCGTATGCCCTGGCTTTCCTGCTGTCATCGTTTCTCCGTCGGACTGGATAGCACGGACCATTGAACATGATCAGACTCGATAGCAGAGACTATTGAGCAATCCTCGGCATATGATCAGACTAGATAGCAGAGACTATTGAGCCGTCGTAGTGACTAGAATTTCCATCAAGAGCCAACAGTGTCGCGCATTAAAACATCAAAACTGGCATCATGGAAAGCCTCCTGTAATCAGCCAGACCGGGCATTGGCTAATGATGCAACCAACCCCACAACATGCCCATCCACTTTAGTTGGTGCAATGCGAATCCAAAGCTTAACGTTGAGGCTTCGAAGGCAAGAGAGTTCATACACACTAACAGCACTTCCCCTCTGCCAGAATTGGGAGGACCCCACCCAGCTTCCAAAAGCTTTCTAGTTTTCCGATTTTTAATAAGAAAAAAATAAAAAAATGCATGCATTTATTTTTTTCATCAATGATTACAATTATTTTTCATAAAAATATCAAAACTATAATTTATAATATTCATCTTAATATTTTATATTCTGGTGATTATAGAAAATTAATTTTATTTCATTGAAATTAAAAATTATCATAGAAAAATTACATTTTGTTAGTTTAAAAATGTAAATTTTTATATGGAACCTACAATAAAAACTAAATTTATCTCACCGGCTAAATATAAAAATGTAAAAAAAATTAATATTTTAGATTTCCAAAAAATACATGTATATAAAAAAAATTGTATTGTTCGTTTTTTTTATTTAAAAGACATGTAAGAAAAATACTATAAAAAACTCCTAAAATGTGTTTTCCAAACTAAGTATAAATTGAAAAAAATAAAATACTATTTAAAAAAATTTATGAAAAACTATTACATCTGAACAAGAATTTTTTCCTACTTATTTCAAAAAAATAAAGTAGCACTTTGTGTTTAGAAGGTCCATAAATAACTTCACAGAACAATTTGATCATATAAGTGGGCATGCAGGTTTGTAAACAACCTATTCACATAGGCCACAGCCAAAGCTTCCACAGAAATTCAATTTCCACATCATTCATAAAATCTAACCAAGTTTGATAATAGTAAAGATATGAACAGTAATATATAATCATTAATTGCCCTTTTTATCCTCTGGTGTCCCATAAACATCATTTGCACGAGAGACAAGCTCAATCAGCACGGAGTGCCTTTGCTGAGATACAAGCTGATCATGTATTCATCACTGAATGGAGAATACGATGCTTAAGAATGTAAGCAACTGACACAGGTTACAGTTCGGAAGATTACAACGTACAGAAAATCTTCAGCATAACAACTTATGATGCATGCAGAATAATGTTACAGCCATGAATACGGCAGAGGTTGGTCATAATCATTCATTAAAAGCTTCAAAGTTGAATCAGTTGAAGATGTGACAGACTCGGGATGATGTGGTAGAGGACTTCCACTCTTCAGCTAAAGATCAAAGGAGGGCTTTCATGGAGATTTACACACTGGAGTCCCCTTTTGAAAATAAGATTTTTGAGCAATATCAACTACGACTTCTTCCCTGTTCAAAGTGTAAAAAAATCATTTAAATCCCAACCAGAATACAATTTAAAGTCTAGAACCAACATTGACACAGTAAGAGGATATCAGGCCAGGATTGTGAACCCAATTGTTATATATACAGAAGAAATAATTTTTGTGATAAATGCGTGCATGCCCAAGCACATGCATGTGTCTGAGTGTCGCTATGAGTGCATACACATAGAATAGCATCTCGGAGGGATGGAGGGAGGGAGACAGATCCAATGCTCAAACAAAACCCATCTTAACCACAATTCCGTACCAAATCCAATCTGATTAAAGCTAATGTCTTCGCTCTATTTAATCAAATCTGTTAAGAGTTGTATATCAATAAATAATCACGTGCATGCATGAACAGAGTACTTCAAAATTTTCAATCGAAAAAGTAAGAAATACATCATGGTTCATGTGTATGCATGAACAGCGTACTTCAAATTTCATAGTTGGAGATCAAATGCTTGATCTGGACTTTCTTCAGTTATACAACATGATGAGTACACAGAGAGCCAAGATTTGAACAACAGTTTCTGATTCTGAATGATGAAACGAGAACATTGTGATTGCAGGAAGAGGTGAGGCAAAATTCAAGATTGCCATAGAAACTCACAGGTATGAAACATTGCCCATTACCATCACCAGCAAGTACACCAAACACATCAGTCAAATTTGAGTCTTCTAAGCTCATCAACAACTTCAAATGGTATTTGGTAGCTAATCAAACTACAATGAGCAATAAATCAATATTTTGCAGGACAGGAGCATGGAGTAAATTGTGAAGCAGGTGTTTAAATAACATTAGAGCATTTCTGGTAACAAAGATCCCACTCAGGCAGGTTTCGCATTGGGACAGATTAAAAGACTAGTGGAAGTCCAATTTTACAGATTCAGCAGTTTGCACCTTCATCACAAAGGGAACTCTTTCTGGTTACTATTAAGCCCATTCAGACGTACAACCAAGTCACCTATAACAAGTTGTCTGAATCTAATTCATGTCCAAATGACTAAGAGTGACCACCCCAAAACAAACATTAGCTGAGTTACTGAGCCTGAGCCTGAACCTGATTTGAGTCAAATGACTAACTTTGACCAGCCTTAAACCCACGTTACATGACTTAAACTCCTCTACCCTTGATTGTGGGGGAAAATCCATGAATCACAAATTTCAGTGTGAACTACAAATTTACCAAAATTGTTAACTGAAGAGAATCGGTACTGAATATCCACATCCCTTGCTTTCCTAAACATACGATGGGCAGAATTACAAAGATTTGACATGAAAGTTATTTCTAACCCCCAAATTACTCTTATTTCCTCAATTCACTTCACCTAGGAACTAAGAAGTACAACCATTGGCAATTCATTAAGTAACCATTTTTAGCATGCAGCCCCTAACTAATATGTTCAAATGCAAACTACACAGTTTTTACACTCTAATGGCTGGCCATAAATCTACGGATGCAGGGCTCTCCTAAAAATGAGAAAATCTTTGCACCGCTAAAAGACTTTCGACAAAGAACCACAAGCGAGACTGATACACTAGACCTCCAATACATGCAAATGGAAGAATTTAAGCCACGAAAAAAAATAATCAAGCAATCACATTAGCAACAACCCAAGATGAGAAAACTCAATATCAGCGAACCCCAGATCAAGAAAAGACAAACAACTTCCAAAATTTATCGCGGCTGAAAGACTTCTTTTTGAGCTCCAATTGAGCATCAATAAACAAATTCATTCTTTCAAACTCAACTTCTTTAGTTAACTCCATTCTCTGTTTCTCCAACTCCATCATTTGCTGCTGTTTCGAACTCTCAATTCTCTCATATATCTCTCCAAACTTCAATATCGCTCTCGCTAATTCCCTACAGGCAGCCCAATCAGATAAATCTACATCCTCCATTCTAGGCCGTTTCTTTTTCACTCTTTCATCAACCCACGCCATATCGTCGTCGTCGTCAGAAGAGCTCTCCCCACAACTGGCCAAGCCTGGATAAACATCATTTTGAGGCTTTGTCTTTGACTTCACCGTGAAAGTAACGGAGGTAGGTTTCTTGAAAGTGTTAGTAGCATTACTGTTAGTGCCGAGGAGAGAATCGAGACGATAATAAAACGGCCAAGTCGACGGAGGGGGCTTGGATTTTTCGATCTTGTATTTTTTCTTCAATGTGTCGATTCGGTTTTTACACTGGATGTCGGTCTTTTTAGGTTTGACGCCGTTTTGCTGGTTGTTAACGGCGTCAGCGACTTCTTTCCAGTCTTTTTGACGGAGGTTACCTCTATTAAGATTTATGTAACGGTCACCCCAGGCTTCGACTAGTGTCCCAGTGGCGCCATCGCTCCAACAATCTTCGCGACCACCGTGGTAAGGCCGGGTTATGGCGGCGGAGGGGCTGGGATCCATGGTGGAAGTGGTGGTTTTGGGTGCTAAAGTGCTCCGGAGGGGGAGGGGAGTGTAGGGTAATAAGAGAAATGAAGGAATTGGAAGATTGGAAGGAGAAAGGAAAGAGGATATGGATGAGGGTGATGGCCGTGCATTGTGACCGGCGGTGACGTCAGCTCCCGTAATGGGGTTGGACGGGAAATGTTTTTGTTTTTGGACACCAATAATTGGATTGTTAATATTATTATTATCAGACTATTACATCTGCACATCGGTTTGCATTGTTGGAAGTGGAAACTTGAAAAGAAGTTTGGTAGTGGTTTTGGTTTGAGCTTTTTTGGGCCTCGATGATGTAAGATGTTATGAGTTTTGGCTAATGAAGCAATTCGAGAAAGACGATTTTAGGAGTAGGGGCTGGGCCTTGAGGCTTGACATCTTTTCAAGACCATGGTGGTTGATTCTCCCGTTTCATTTTTGAAGAGAAAGATTACCATCAAAATACATGATTAAGGTGGAATAATCGCAGCGATGTTCAATAGCCACCGCTCTAGGTGGTTTCTCCATATACACCAAGGGCCAGAATTGTTTGATCTTGGACAGTTCGCAGTTGGGCCATAAAAGAGAATTCGGCCTGTTTGTCGAACCTGTCTTAACTCTGAGTCATTGGCCTGAGCAATACTGGTAGAGGTGGGTTCATTTTGTAGTGGCAAGATGTTATAAACCCAGGGATAATCTGAGGTGTGAAATAAAAACTAACAACAGTCGAAAAGCAATAGATAGCTGCCCGTGGATTTTAAGAAACAAGCTCAGAAAGACGTTATCCAAGATGGACGGGTCACTCATCTATGCTAAGTTTTTTGCTTTCCTCTTTTCAGACAACCCGTCACGTATGTTGTTGTGCTAGATTATGAGCTGGATTATGATGGTTAAGACGTGTTTTCTGGTAGAGAAACAATCCGATGATCATATTGAATTCGGCTGGCTGGAGACCAAAACTTAGGAATCATTGATGAATTCACCCATCACACTGTCAGAGAATTCTATCAATCCAAGATTTTAATGTAGAGAATTGATTATCTTCTAAAATAAAGGAGCAATATCTATCTGTCCTAGACTTTGAAACTTTAATGGGTAAATGTTCATTAAATACTAAATTGACGACTTTCCCAGGTGGTCCAGTAATATCATCAGCCAAGCAAGAGTCCTTCCGGTAATAATTGGCAAAACACAATTTCTCATCCTATCAAAAACATTAAGTGTTCTTTAATTACTCATGTGATAATCATTAGTAGTTTACATAATTATTAATTTTAGGACTCGTAGAATTAATCGCGGTGCGCATAAACTAGCTCGAACACCCATATTAATCTAAACAAAAAAAAATATTCAAAAACATTATCGGTTCACCAAGTTAGTGGCCTAGCAATCCTAATAAAAAATTTCCTACTTTTGCATCCTAAGTTTAAACCATGGTGTATATACCTGTTATTCTCATGATATCTTATCTATTTATATTTTACTAGACTTACAAAATATTCAGTAGATTTAAAAATTAATCGTGATATGTATAAGCTGACCCAAATATCTCGAATTATATATAAAAAAAACATTATCAATAATGAATCTCTTCATTGAGATAGATATTATTGATTAGTCATGCAACACGCTTTGAAGAAACACATGTATTATCGTACAGAGGATGTTTGACATCGTGTTTTAACTTGTATTTAAGTAATATTTTTTATATAAAAAATATTAAATTATTTTTTTATATTTTGATATTTTTAATGTGTTAATATTATAAACAAAAATAATCTAAAAAAAATACTTTAATATATTTTCAAGCAAAAATAAATTTTAAAATTTTTTTACAGCACAATAACAGCTAATCAAATAAATTTTCTTAAAGACAACACCACTGTATATTTGACTTGGCATATTTATCACGTGTTTGAAGAATTGATCTTTTGGCTAAAGGAATATATATTTTTTACTGATTTTTTGAATTCAATTTTTTAAAATCAGCATTTAAAAAAATATTAAATTATTATATATACGTTGGACTGATGTGAGAGATTCGTTCTAAATTAGTCGTAAAAAAATTTAATCTCAATTATAATCAAGCCAATTTGAGAATACTTATAAATCAAATTATTGTCGATCTTTGGGGGTGTAAAAATTTGAAATTACGTCCAAAACAGAACTACAATAATACAATTAAGCCCGATATGGAAATGAATTGATATCAGATAATATTAATTATTACATCTATCCCTCCACCTTGCATACAATCCTACTTAATTACCTGCTCAACTGGGTTAAAAATTCACACAAATTCGGGAAATCTTTTCCTTTTCTTCCCGGCACACTGACATCATGCTGTGTCTTTTATGGCAGACAATTAGAAATAGTAGTTTTTCGAGTGCAACGACATTATGATTAAATTATAGAATCTTTTTTCTTAAGTATATCTTGTCGATATATGCTTTTGTGAAAAGACGTGTGCTGGGTTCAATCACAAACCCAGCTGGCAAAAAGGAAACAGGCGAAAGTTGATCAGGATCAAGAAAGAAGCATAAGCATGCAGATCATGCAAATCCAAAAAAAAAAAGGAGGAGAAGGAGAAGAAAGATTGAGCCTGATATTTAATGCTCTTATCTAATCAAATGTGGTTCTTAAAACGTTTGTATAACTTTAGAGATTTGCAACATCTTTGGTGCCATAGGCCCTTGGTTTTGACCTAAAATAATACCGCATCCTATCTAGCCTTGAAATAATTTATTTTATTTTTTTTCTTTACATTGATATTATCATCCTTGTACACGTCCTTGCATGCAAAATATTCTCCTCGTTACCTCTCTTCAAAGTCTCTGCAAGGAAGTTAAATATGTGCGGTGATGGGCGAGGGTAGGACAAAGGAATCTCTAGTTATGTCATACGTACTGTCACTGTCACTCAACTAAATGCCTTCTTGTTTGCAGATGCCCAGCTACCCAACACACTTTATAGATTTACAGAGACAGCTAGGAATATATTCTGTTAGCATCTACATTGTATTTTAACTTCTTTAGATTTTCTTTACTCGGTATATTCTGATAAACCTCAGTTCATCTAAGTGCTGACGATGTCCCCTGAAATGGGTATTCGGTTAGTTAACCGATAGTGCCTCTTGGTTTTTATCTAAGCGTTAAGGGTTTAATTAATTTCTTTTATATATATATAAACACTAACCTACACCCTTAAACATTTCAAAATTTATTTATGTGATCAAAACGTGGCAAGCCACATGCATCTCGCTCCTTTTTTGAAGCCACATTAACTGACTTTGTAACAAGCACCTTTAGTCCTTGTCCCATATCGCTGGCTTTAGCAGCTGATCGAATCCTCAGCATTCTTAACTATACAATTCTTTCAAACTCAACGTTACACATGTCAGCGTCAGATCACATATAAAACTTGGGACAGAAGTCACCGAGAATTTTATCACGGTTCATCGGATCTTCATGGAAGTACAATGCTACTTTTGGTATTCAAAGGTTTGAAATCAATAGCACGCCACTGTCGTCTAGCAATCAGGATGTATCTACATATATAGAGAAGTAGCGCATACTGATTGACTCGATGATATAAATGTGGACGCAGACCTCCCAAACTAATGTACGTAGCTTAATTTGTAATACTTGGGGCCGTTGTTGTTTTTCTATTTTCTATGGCTTTATTATCCCCTTTTTTATTCATATTGCAGAATACTAGCAAGCGAGGCGAAAGACAAGATGCCCAAGGCAACTTGGAGTGTAGCTTGTTACTCCGATTTAAGAATCATCAAAGGAAACATGGAAACTATAATTCGAATTTAGTTCTTTAATCTATATGTAAATATATTAATCCCTTAACCTTTAACCCCTTTAACATAAAACCAAACAAACCTAAATAAATGGGGTCCTTGTCATGATTTTTCAATCATAGCCTCTTTTACTCGCGTTTTGTTTGCTTAACTTTATATATATATATATTTGATGGTGAAGTGCTATTTATGAAGCGGTTTTCTCCAAAAGATCCTTACAATATTGTCAGGCCGGAAAAATTATCATATGCGAGGCACGATAACAGTTAACACTTATAAACCACAGCTAAAAAATTTTGTTAGCTGAAAATTAAAAAGCAACTTTCGTTCGTCAAAAAATAAAAAAATAAAAGGCAGCTTTCATATTTCAGCGATGTGCATCTTTTCTGATCACCTGAAAACTTAATAACCAGGGATTGCTTATCAAATTCTCTTAACAAAATAAATAGATATAGCTTGTAAGGGGCAAATAATGATATATAGTCCATATCTACCATGGGAATAAAGGAAGCTTGAGGGTGCCCTCTTTGGCTAGCACTAGCAGAAAATCTGCATGGCCTATCCAGAAAAGAAAAAAATTTCGACATTGTTTTTTTAGCCAACGCCACAAATCTTCTAGACAATACGTCCTCCACCGTCCAACATGAGGGAGTCAAATTTGCAAAAGTATACCTGTAATTGGTTTGGAGAACCTGTCTATAAGGTTAAATTAGCTGCTGGGTTCTCAAAAGAATATCGAATAATTATAAGTATCAACAGTAGCCTTGACTAGATATTGGTGATGTATAGTTGTTGGTTGTTATGATACCTGCGGCAATATTAATGAATAATATAAAAGTGATAAATGAAAAAACACAGAGGTTAATTTATCATGGTTTGATAATATACCTAGATTTACATAAATGAGAAACTATAGATTTACATAAATGAGGAACTATATTTTCATTGTCTATAAAATTAGAATTACATAAAGTGTATTTATAATAAATCCTAAACATATAAGAGATATTAGTAAATTTTAATAGTGCCCTTTTATCCCCACACCCTTAATTTATCATAATTCCTAGCAATAAAACAGTAAATTACATCCCAGAATCTTGACTGCTTTATCTGTATACATGTTCCACTCAATATCTTCCTCGTTTCGGTAGAATCAACTTAGTTAAATATACCAGGAAAGAACCGATAGTTTAGGTCCCGCCACATGCTCATTTGCTGTGAACGTGCATGTACTGTGCATATGGTGTATGATACATTTTTCTTTTTAGCCCACGTAAAAGGTCTCAAACCGAGTAAAGAAAGGGGAAAAAACAAAAAAACAAAGAAAGAAAGAAAGAAGAACGGGATGAGCATTTAGCGAGCATACACACACACACGTATCGCTAAGTGTTAGCTGGTATCCTAGATT